AGAATATGATTTGTCAGGGCATTGATTTAGTTGGAGTGGGTTTTTTGAATAGTGAACATGTGTATTGCATAGAAATTGGAGTCAAGAGAGAAATCAAAGAAGAAAAATTACCCAGAATCTGGCTGCTCATAACCACGGTTAACATTTGGAAATGTTCTTCTACTTTACATATCTATCATAAAATTGGGCTCATATATTGGAGACCCCTAATCCAGGAAACTGAAGCCCAAGGCATTCAGCTGCTGCCACCTGCTAGTCTGGCTGGCTGCTGTTCTCCTTTCACAATCCCACCCCTGCTGGAAGCTGCTCTTCCTGTTGATGGGTAGGGGACGGGGAGACCACATCTCCTGGCCATATCTGCTTTTTGTTTTTTGTTCATACTCTCTTGCCACTTGTAGACTTGCTCTGTAATTACAAACTCATTCCTAGAATTGGATTAGTGCTGTGGCTCTCATTTATTGGGATGCATTGGGAAGAACTGACCCAGAACCAGTAGTTCTGCCTGCCTACTGGTTGTGGGTCATGGGGGTGGAGGTGAGGTGGAGAGTCTTCCACTTGCAAAATCAATATTAGTTTAAAATTGTATACAGGGAACATTATGTAATGGCAATCAAGAATCTCAAGGCCATTTTTATTGTAAACACTATTTCAAGATGATGTAAAATCAACCCTTGCTAGGAAGTAACAGATGTGACCATGTTCTGACAATCTGGAAATTCTTGGGCTTTCTAGTCTGTGGGGTTCACTTTTTTACTGAATGCTCAGCAGTGGGCGTGTTCTCTCATTTACTGAGTTGGGGCTTCCTTGGAGATAGTGTCGGAAAAGTAAAGGCTCAAACACTGAAGAATAAGCTGCTTCGCTGGCATGCAGTCACTCACCTCTTCACACTTTCTGTTTGGCTCACTTTCTGGCATTTGCTAGGTGCTCAGGAAATTTTTCATATGAAGTAGTGAGTAAATAATGACTGAAGGTGTTGAGCCAAGCCACTTTCCTGTTACTAGAAGCTGTCTGTCCTTGTTAACTGCTCTCATTTTTGTCCTTCCTCAGTTGGAATCAACGACCTCTGGAAAGATGCCTTTTATGTCACCAGGACAACAGGGCCAATCTCTGAAGGGCATCCAGCACCCCTGGTGGTCAGCAAACTTAGTCTGCGGTGGGCATTGATGGAGGGCCAAATGGTCCAGCTGAAGGAGACCACCCCCAAAATTGGCCGTGGGGAGCTGAGAAGATTCCTTTCTAGGATAAAATTTGTTGATTCTCCCTACCAGGTGAATAGCTTCTGAGATCCTTAGTTGTTATTATTATTTTTTTGATGGGGGTACATAGAGTGCCGGGGATTGAACTCAGAGGCACTCAACCACTGAGCCACATCCCCAGCCCTATCTTGTATTTTATTTAGAGACAGGGTCTCACTGAGTTGCTTAGCACCTCACTTTTGCTGAGGCTGACTTTGAACTTGGGATCCTCCTGCCTCAACCATGAAGACATGGTTCTCAAGTTAATTGTTCTCAGCTGGAAATGGTGTCATCTCTCATAGGAGACATTTGAAAGAATGTGGTCCCAGTAACTGAAGGGAATGGATCCTACTGGTATTTTTTGGGTAGGAGCCAGTGATGTGGGCATTATGCAGGGCTGGCCAGAGTCACACACTACACAGAATTATCTTGCTGAAAATGCTCTAGTTCAAAGCTCAAGAGCTTATCATGCAGAAGGACAAAGTCTCTGGGCCTTTTTAGGAGGGAGGAGAGATTCTTATAAACTATTGGGACTAAACAAAAGGAAATGAAGGAATATTCTGACCTTCCATTTCTTTGAGAATTCTTACCATGAAAAAAAGTCACTGATGCTTCTACCTTTTCCTGCAGATCTAGTCTGATGAAATCTTCGGTTTCAGAAGAGATAAACAGAACAGGTCCCTTCTGACAGTATAAAAGCAGTTCTTTGGAAAGAAGACAACTTTGGCCTCATTTTAGTACTCGTTTGTGATCCTTGCACTTTGGAAGGCCTGTTGGAGCTTTTTGATAACAGCATGATTCGCTTGGCTGGGGTATCTTACCACCTTTCCAATCCTTGTATTAATCCCCTCTAGGAAGTCAGTGTGGAGAATTTGAAAATGTGAATCTTATAGATGTATTATTATTTTGTATGTCTAATTTATAAACTGTTGCTGGGAAATCCAGTGAAGATGATGGCTAGGAAATATTTTGTTTCACATTATGCTATTTGTATTTTTTAATGTTGTGGTGATGTCATTTTCCAGACATTCCCTAAGATTCAGGGATCCCATTTCCTGTCCTCCTGAAATACATCTGGTCTGGTCATCTTGAGACTTCCAGATGGCCCAACTCCGATTTTGAGGATCATTCATCTTTCTCTCCTTCCATTTTTACCACTTTCACCATGGCTACTTCCCTCCCAACTCTAGAGAGCAGTGATACAGATTGGTAGTGGAGGACTGTTAGCCGTGTCATGTTTTCATCTATGCCTTTCCTAGATTTGCCATCTACATCAAAGTGGCCATAAGAATAAATGTTCCTATCACAATGGGAGCAAGAAAAATATGGTTTCAATGACCCACCTCTGATGAGGTCTATATGTGGTGTTGTATGGGGGGTATCAATGGCTCTGCCATTTGTGGTTCTTGTTGCTGCAGTAACGTCAGAGGGTATATGTGTCTGCTGTCTTTAATTCAGACCTGGAAGCCAGGTCCTGGGAGGCCTGTGTCCTTGTCCTGCTGCATATTCACTCTGCTTTCTTAGAATCTTCTCTAGAACATCCTCCTCCTCTTCCCTCCCCTGGCTCTCTCTATTTTATTCAGGGATATGTTCTGGACTTCCTTTGCTACTTGAGTCCGGTGTGCAACCCCTCTGCCCTGCACTTCTCCTTCCTGTACAGCCTTTGAAGCATTGTATTTTGAGAAAATTCTTATGTAAATACTATAACTTTTGTAAATGCTTAAGTTCTTTAGAATTATCTCCAGTGCTTACTTCCCCTTTCTTCTATGTAAATTTGTTGCCTCTATTTAAAATTCCTAAACTTCTAGACCATTGTCATTGTCTGTATAGCAAAGAATTCCATGATAGCTGATGGAAAAAATGTTTTTCTTCTTAACTTTAGGATAGGTCTGCCCTGAAAATCAGGTTCTCTCCTTGCCTGGGCTTATATCTTTCTAGTTTGTATTAAGGAGCTCCAGGAAAGTATGGATTCCAGGTTTAAAGGGATACCTGTTAGTCGCCCAGGGATAGTTATTGTGACATAACTGGAGGTTGGCAGCAATAAATCCAAGCAGGCACATCATGTGACCTGTGAACTGTCTGGCCTGTAGCTTGGCCTCAATAGGTTTCTAGGTACCGCTGCCTTAAGTCCCAGAAAGCATATTCGTTTTCAATACTTTGGAAGTATGTGTGTCCAACTGACTCTTTGAAGGAATAATGAAGAGGATACCTGGGTATGGAGGTGATCCCAGATTCAAAATTTAAATCTACTTGAGTGTAAATGCCTATAAGTAATTTTTAGTAGACTGAACCCCAAAATGTGTTGTCCCTGTGGCTTGCTGAGCCACCTAGACATAACTACCATGTTGAGGCTTTCTGGGAAGCCAGCCAATATAGTAAACAATGCAAAGTTGTTTACTGGGGACTTGTTTTGGTGGGATTGTTTCAGCAGAGGACTGTGTTTGTAGAGTGTGAGTCTCAGACACAGATAAAAGAATAACGTTGCTGAATTCTCCTTGGTGTTTTTGGAGCTAACTTAACTTCTCCTTACAAGTTTGAATCTTTGCTTGCTAAATGCAATGAAAGTTCCACGTTTACTTCCTCTTGTAGCTAGTACATAAGGATATCAGTACTGACTGGAAACTGACCAATGTGGGTTGCTGGTCTCTTGTCAAATGTGTCCCTAAACTTCCTTCTTCTTGAAGACAGCCATCCACCCAGAAATCCAAGATAGGAAGTGCTCCTTTCTCTCCACAATCCCAACGTGGGGCTGCCGGGCAAAGCCCATATGACCACTATTTAGAAGTAATGATTTCTGCAATGCGAGGGTCTTCCCTGCCTCTCAGTCTCCTCTTCTCCTTCCCTTTGTAAACCCTCCCCTCTGTCCTCGACAACATCCTCACCCTCTTCCAATGTGTGGTCTGGTGATACCAACTAACCCCATGAATGTGAATTTCTATCCTTATTGCCCACATCAAAGATAAGCCTGCTGGTCTGTTGTCTAGAAAGACTATTTAAAATGTGAACTGTTACTGAACAAATAAATACCATGTACAGGAATACACTTGTGTGCCATTCTCATTCTTCTTGCTATCAAGGATGGAAAAGAGAATGGGGGAGTGGATGGATGGCATTCTTTGTGGAGGAATAGCAGAGCAAGTTTCTCAGAAGGGAGGAGCAGATGGGCATCTAGAGAGGAGCCTCTGCTCCCATCTCAGTCACTAGAGAAGCTCCCATGTGATTCTCTTCTGGAACCATACCCATCTGATTAGCCTTAGTAGGCTGTTTCTAGAAGTGGACTGCATGAGCTTTCTCACATCACACTACCCTCCTAATTGTTTTAGTAACACCTTTATTGGGATCTACTGTGTGGATGCAGGAAATTGTAATAAGCAGTGTGGAGGACACCTGCCTTTCAAATCAACATGCTCAGTAGTGCTTCCATCTTACAGTCTGACTTCTGGGAAAATTTCATTGGAAATTGAACTCCAAATTACTGTTAATTTGCTTACTTTATTTTTCTCTAATTTTCAGACTGATAAGCTGGTTTATAAGACCCTTAAAATCAGGTGCTGTATTTGACTCTCCCTTTTATCACCATTGCTTAGTCCAGAACCTGGCACATAAGCAATTGGCAAGAGAGAAAGAAATTCTGAGCCAGGACGTTCGGAGGATGGAGGACATGGGACAGAGCTATGGAGGAGAGGGGCAGTTGTAGTGTCCCTTTGGACTTTGACTTTAAGATACCCTTATTCTTAGCCTCTAAAAAAATAACGCAAGAGACAGTTTGGCTTAAGCTGATGTTTATAATGAACAAATACGTGTAAGGTAGGGCTCAGCCTGCTCTCCAAACCCACTTAACTACTAGCACTGCTCTTCTATGGATGACCCAACCACTTCTTTCAGCTCCTGGCTGGTCCCTTGTTGAAATCTCTGGTCTTGTAGTGCTGAGTAGAAGTCAGCACTTTCGGAGATGGAGTGGATGGGCTGGTTGTGGTATTGGTGGTAGCTTGTGGGAGGACCTCCGGGGTGGGTTGTACATGACTGCTGCTGAGGGAAGCACCGGTGGTGATGGAGTAGGCAACCTGGGTTTTCTTTGAAGGTCTTACTATGTCTGCATTTGAACTCCAGGACCATCCTGGTGTATGTGTTGAAAGTGGTGACAGCAGATGCCATGCAGCAGGTGAAGGAAACCCAGGCCGTGCTAGGGACAAACACACAAAAGGGCCAGTAAGAATCTGACTCTCCCCAGCACCGAAAAAAAATATATATATATATATATATATATATATATATATATAAAATCTGACTTTGTTGAAAGTCAGATTTTTCTATTGGCATACTAGGCTGGTGTCTCTTGGGAACTAAGGAGCTTGAGTATGCTGCTTTTCATCATGATTCACGTAAACAACTATAAGCAAGAGGACAATTTGGTAGTCTTGGTGGTACAGACTGTTTTGTAATTGATGAGACTGACTCATGTACTAAAATCAGACAAGAGATTTAATGGATTTATTTTCACTGAATTGATTAGTTGTCAGTGCCATGCTCTTAAACCTGATGGTGTGCCTGTGTGTGTGTGTGTGTGTGTGTGTGTGTGTGTAATTTTAACTCTTGTTTCCAAAGCTGCAGTTACCCTTTTATCTCTCCGAGATACCACAGATCTGCAGCTCAACTGGATATGGTAGACATGATAGACATGACCTAATGCCCTTTTCTCCCCTTCTCCTTTCTTCACTCAGGAGGAATCATCCCTCTTCCACTTTTTTAACTTAATAGTCTTAGGTCCACAAAGTTATGGAATAATGTAGGAAAATTTTACTACAAACCTGAAGGTATTTTGTGTGTGATACTAGGGGGGTCTGCTCATTATGAAACACTGTGGTCTTGGCTTAAGGTATTTTATAATGGATGCTGGAGGGATTCAAGAAGGAAAAAAGAAAAAAAACCCACCAGGGAACTACATCAAACTCATTTCTAAAAATTTGGAAAGCTAAATCTCTGAATCTCCCTGTGATTCTGGGAAGCTCAGGTAACAGGAAGTTTTGCGTGGTTAGTTGGGATTTCATGAGGCCAAGTGATGCTTAAAGCCATGCCATAGCTGGTGGGAAGTAGATTCAGGCTGGGTTGCTTCTGAGAGTTTTGCAGTCTAAACTCCACAACTGAAATGCCAGGAATGACTTGAAGAGACACAAAAGGTGAGAAATCTGGGTGGAGGAAGTGAACTAAGCCGATGATGTGGCTGGAAGAACAAGGACTCCTGAATCAAAGGGCACATATTGCACCGCAAGAAAAGTGGATAGGCTCTCATTCCAGACATGGGTAGATTTCCACAGTGCCTTCTTAGAAGTGCAAACTTGAGTCAAACTAATTTTTTTTTGAAGAGAATAACTGTGGATGAGAAGTTTTTATTTCTAACATAGTTTGGTAAAGATAAGAATGGAGAAAGGTGCAAGAAGTTACTCTTGGCTTGAGTTTAGAATGAAAGGGGAGAGAATTTGGTTGATGAGCCATTGAAAAAATGATCAAATCAAATTGATTTGATCATTTGAATTGATGGAATTCAATCCAAATTTCAAAGCCAATTATCCTTTGTTTTTCTGAGACTTTGAATCATGAACTATAAGGAAATGTACAGTATCATTTCCATAAGTCACATAAAATCATTTCACAAGGGAAACGAACATTTCAAAGGAAGAAGAGATTGCTACAAATGGTGATCAGGAAAATGGGAGGAGGTCATATCCTCACAAAATCAGCCAGAGGAATGTTCTCTGCACACCCTGGGAATCAGGTAAAGAGTAGAGGTTCTGATGAACCAGCCCCACGTTTGGCTGGCAGACTTGTGAGATGAGGCATGAAGAGAAAGCAGGAGGACATAGAAGGAGTATCTAGCTGAGGGTAGAAACTCTAGTGAAGGAGGGGCTAAAAAGATGACCAGCACTTACTAGAAGGCCCAGCCATAATTCCAAGAATGTGGTCTCCAGTCTTCTGGACCCACGTTGACAGTTGCCTGGAAGACTTGGGAATACATCATATGGGCCACCATCCCCAGAAGGCCTACAGAGGGAAGAGGAAGGCAGAGCCCTTGGAGAAGGGCTGCCTTTGCCATCCACAGGAAGATGATTTTGGAACCGCCTTCTCACTTTGAATCAGGTGTGGCCTATGTTATGGCATCCGTTACTCTTAGGCCATCACATTTCCCAGAAGACTATAAGCAGCAATGGGGGCTTCTTTTTGAATGCATAACTTGGCCACGATCACCCCAGATTTCAGGGTGAGTACTATGGAAGAAAGCCTCTGAGTCAGTACTGCACCCACGGCCACCACATCCTTTGACTTCTTCCCACCCCACTCTTTGTTCTTTATTTTATATGTAGATCTGTATATATAACAGTCTTGAAAAAGCTATGCCTATTGTCACAATCTGAGAGTACCAAACCAGAGGTTTCACATATTGAGAAAACTTTCAAGTAAAGGAACCTAAAAGCAAATCATTTTGTAAAGTACACATTGATCCAAGCCAGTTTGAGGCCAGCCTTGAGACCTCATCTCAAAATAAAAAAATAAAAGGGGGTGGGTGTAGCTAGCTCAGTGGTAAAGCCCTTGGGGGTTTAGTCCCCAGTACCGGACCAAAAAATAAATAAAAAATAGAGAGCAAAGAAAAAACCCTTAATGATCCAATATATAATTTCATGTGTTATCGTTATTTCCATTTTAAATGAAAGATGCCTATAAAGTTATCTTTCATCTCCACTCTATATTGCCTTTAGGCTCCTCCTCCCTCTGCTTAAGAACCAAGACCCAAGCCCTCCCGCTTGTGCTTCAAAGCAGATGGAGGACAGCCGCCCACTTCCACCGTGGGGGTCACTCACCTGACAAAACAGAGGCAATGGCTGCAAAGGCGCTCAGCTTAAGCCCACAGCCAGGGTTCCCCGTGAGCAGCAAGTCCATCAGGAGCAGGAGGAAGCTGATGAACTCAAGGCCAATGTACGTGATTTGGGCTCCCAGTGATAACCAGAGGATCTCTGTTAGAAACCAACAACCATCTCTGTTAGAACCTCAGCCAGACGGTTAAATAACTGAACCAACAACCATCACAGGGCACCCTCCAGAAGTTAGAAGCCCGGCAGTGTAGGAGAAGGGGAGAAGGAGGCAAAGCTGGAAACAATTACTTCATTTTGAGGTCTTTGCTCTCACCCTGCAGTTAGTTCCCGCTATGTGCAGCACCCAACATATAATCAAGTAAACTTGATGGACAGTAATAGTTTTAGGGAGGTTTGTGGGGGAGAATCACCTAATTTCCATAAATCTAGGGATGTAACTTTGCTATATCATTTTGTCTTTTTCTTTATATAAGTTTGGGATAATCAGCTTTGTTTCCTTTCTCCTTTCTTCCCTCCTCCTATTACTTCCTTTTCATTATAAATAAATAAATAAATTTTTAAAAAAGGGATGGGAGAAAATAAAGGAAAAAAAAACAAAACTTGAGCTTTTTCAATGCAGTTTCTTGGCCACAGCGAGCTGCTGGTTTCCTGTTTATGAACTTTACTTGTCCCTCTGTTGTTCCCATTTTGCATTTATGCATATGAATTGCATATGAATGAAAGTCAGCTTTAGGAATAATTTATGGCACTCAGTAGGGCTCAGAAGAAGAGAAAAAGCAGAAGATCACAGTGTAGTTTAGATCCAGAGAGGCCCCAATCAATGATAACTAAATTCAATAACTAAATTCCTTATCGAACACATACTTGCCACAAGCCCCAAGGGAAGGTGGGGGAAGAAAGCCTTCTCCTTCAACCACTCCCCTCCAAATCGGAGAGTGGGGTGACATGGGCCTTGCAACGTGGCAAATTCCAGTAGTCCTTTCTCACCTCTCTCGGCTGGTGGTGTGAGTTCAATGAAACTTCGGCACCTCTCCCCTGAAACACAAGACACAACTTCATAGGAGTGCTTCCCTGGACAGTTGGGATGAAAGCCTTTCCCACATCCCACATCCATCTGCTCAACAGGGTGCCTTGCATATAGTAGGCATTTAATGTCTCATTTTGAAAGCAGGAAAGAATGCATGGATGAATATGGATGGCACAGGCAAGAATCACCCAAGCTAACTTCTCTCTTCTCCCTTCTGATAATGAAGATGAGAGTGCTTACACAGACTAACATTCCCATTTCCTCTCAGGAAGAGTGCATGATTCTGCTGTTAACAAATGCCTTTTGAAGCTACTATACCACTGGATCAAATGTCTCTAAATTGTTTCCAGGGCTGTGGTTGAAGCAGTGCTAAGTGGCAAAATAATAAAGATAAAATGCCAACACATACATTTTTATTCCTCTTCCATTTCCTTTTCTCCTTAGCCCAGTTTGGGAGAAATAGCAGATCTCAAATTGAGTATGATTCTGAATGACCTTTGAGGCCACAAGGTGATCTTATTCTCTCTCAGCTGAGGAATATACGCTGACTAGGGCATGTTGACAGTGTGGCAAGAGACCTTGGAGCAACTGTCTAAAGCTACTCCAGAGGGTCCTTACAAGATCCAGTACCTTCTCTGAGCCTTGGTTCCCCCAGTCTTTTAAATTGTAACAGTAATCCCTTAGAATGAAATACGCTCTTGTGGGGAGAGGGGAAGGAAGAGGCTTTTGGAGATGATCTACAGTGATCCTTTCATCTCACAAATGAGAAAATCAAGGCTTACGGAAATGCAGTTACTCATATAAGATCACAGTTGGGTAGAGCTTGGGCTTTTTCTACAATATTTCTCTCTCCTTGTTTTGTTTCTATACAGCAATTCTAGCTCACTAGAATGGAAATTTTAACACGAAAGGACTAAATGAAACTCTTAAGGTTAATGCTATTTTAAATATGATATGTTAAACCAGCAAACAGAGCCAGTTATGGTGGTGCGTGCCTGTAATCCCAGCTATTTGGGAGTCTGAGGCAGGAGGACTGGATTTCAAGGCCAGCCTGGGCAACTTAGTGAGATCCCAACTCAAAATGAACAAACAATCAAAAAATGAAACACTATCAACAACAACAACAACAACAACAACAACAAAAACAAAAAGCACAAATCACACAGTAGGTCTTACTAAAGAATGGGGATGAGAATCTAGAAGGAATTTTGGACTTATTAAAAGGGGCTATGAAAAAGGGACAGCACCCAGGATGTAGAAGGTGCAGAGCAGGGGTCGGGTGGTGGGATGAGGCTCATCTGGGTTTAGGCAAGTGCAGTACTTTTCACTGCTGCCCAGTTCTAAGCTGTCCTAAATGGTTTCCTTGCCTCATAAGATTCCTTACTCCCCTGCAAATAAAATAAAATATAAAATACAAAATAAAATAAATGAAGTTGAAGGTGAGGAGGCTACCTGGTTCTTCCATGGTTTCCTCACAGGATAGCCACATGCCACTCCGGAAGGTAAGGAAGGAGAACCGGTCATCCCCAGTCTCCCAGCTGTATTGAACCACCTCCGGGGTTGATGCGTTGGGGAAGCTGCCCTCCAGGGACATTGGCATGTCAAAGCATTTGGCTGCCAGACTTTTTCCGCACAGGGGCTTAGGCACCTTCTGTGTGCCCACAAACCAGGAGCTGCTGAGCAGGGATGTTGTGGAGAGGCTGAGTGATAGCAGGCTGAGGGCTGCAGATATGAATGTCCGTTGGCCAGAGAAGCCCTTCGTGAGTTCCATCTGTAACACACAAACACAAGAGAAGGGAGGGGAGCTGGAGAGCCTGCGGTCTGAGTCTCCTCTGAGATGTGAACCTGCTTCCTTCTCCTTCAAGCCTGATAGGCAGAACCAGTCTCTGTGGCCCACGTGCCTCTGGCTGGAACCCCTGCTTGCCTACTCATTTTTAGCCTTTGAAGAGGGTGATCTAAAAAATGACCAATATTAAACTTGCAACCTTGTTGAGTAGTGGTTTGAAGCTGGATTTTAAGAAAAAATTAACAACAATTCTTGTGCTTTGTGTTATGCAGCAACGTGTGCTGTTACATCGATGCACACTGAACAGGAAGAAAGCCTGCATGCGCTTAGTTGCCGACAGATGCTCCTTAAAGTAAACCTTGAGCTTTTCAGGGGATCTTTCATATCAGAATTAATCAGACCTAGATCTTCTTAGCTGAAGAGATGTAAATAAAACCACAGTTAAATGGACAGGTCCCAAAACCTGCTTGTCTCTTCACCCCCAGCTTAACAGAGAACTTTGATCAAGAACGATAATAGCTTGCTCTTTAGAATTTCCAGGGACTAATACAGTATACACCATAGACAAAGTGTGTATTATTTATGGCAGTAAAAAAATACATAAGTCTTTTGTCATTGTTCTGGTAACTATGAATTATACTTTCTAATTATCCTTATACCCATTGCTCAAATAGGAAATGGACTTCTAGCTAAAATATTTTCATGGATCATTCTGTGTAAAGACTGAACTAAGAATTTGTAAATTCGTAACCTCAGGGTTTGTTTTCAATAGCTATTTTTAGTCATATTTGGTTTGGAAATTTGTCTACTATCACATCAGATTTTTAACTCTAGCCTCAATCCATTTTGAGTTACACATATTTGTAAATTATTCTCTAGGTTATTCAGAAATAAGAAATAGAGGTGTACCTACCTTGAGACACTAAGGTGACACCAAGTTAAGAGGCAATTTGAGAAAAGATAAAGAGCTTGAATTAGCTCAAAGAGGCTTCCCCCTTCCAGAACAAGTGCCCGTGGTTAGATGCAAGGAACCCCCTTCAAGAAGCAGCATACACCACAGACAAAGCGCACATTATTTATGAACATGTATATAAAAACCAAAATACAAAATGAGATAAAACAGCTTTTGGAAAGCAATCTGATAAGGTGATTTTTGATGCTTGATAACCGAGTGATCATCTCACTTGATGCTTCTCAAGAATTCTCTTCAATATTATGCTGCCACACTCTTTGTCACATACCTTCTCTCTCTAGGATCCAGATACCTCTTGAAAGAGCAAATCTCATTTTACAGTGGGTTCCTTAAAGTTATCCTGGAGAAATTCTGCCATAAGAAAAGCTGTATCTTTTCCATATGCTGACAACAGAACCCAGGCCAAGGAATAGAGTGGCTTCTCTTAACACTCAGGCTTAGATCACTAGGATATGTCAGCAATTCCTCTATCAACATATATTAACAGAAAAACAGCATTAATACAGGCTAGAAAGGACAACAAATGGATGAGACGATCACACCTTTTAAAAGAACAAATGCGGTACAGCTGTAGAATAAAGATGGTTACCTTGGCCATGGTCAGCATCTTGCAGCCGGTCTGGATGGATGGAAGGATGCCATCTGAGTTGCAATGCCTTTTGGTTTAGTGTTCCAAGAATGAAAATGCCTTCCCACCCCTCCCTTCCTATCCCATAGGTTTTCAAGTGCTTCTTGATTAAATGCTGACTTACAGTGAACATGGGCATTTAATAATTGACAATGTAGTCACAGCCCAGCTGTTCTGGGCGATTATGCCAGATAGCTTGCCAGTGGGGACCTGGGATTAAGCACAAAGAGGAAAAGATCTGTGTTTGCAGAGGGAACTTATTTATTTATTTTAAGTAAATGATTTAGTTTCTATCTACTTGCTATTCCCCTAGATAACTGGTGTGAATGGGCTGGGCTTGATTTTATGAAATCCACAGAAAATATTATAGGGCCACCGTTACTACCCAGGTTCCTATTTCCTTGAGTGGAGCTTTCTATTCCTTTGAAGGAGCTCTATTATCTGCAATGTCTTTGGGGAGATATGGACATGGAATAGTTTCCTCTTCCATGGGTGGTCTCTTTTAGGTAAGGTAGTGTCATTAGTAAGCATTAAGTACCTGTGTCCATATGGAACCCTCAGAGAAAGGAAGAGTGTGTTAGGTCACAATGGCAGTAAGGATGAGATTCCATAGTTCTTTTGGGGGAAGGTCCAGTAATTTAGAAAGATCTTAATATATTTGGGGAACTAATATAAAATGACAATTGTTCAGCTCATTTTGGGCATCAATTTAACAAAGCTCTTTATAGAATGTCCTTCCTTCCCTATCTCTTCTGGACTAGCCACTAAGTTACATTTTTCCCATTCTATATTTGTCTTCATAGGGAATCAAAGACAAATTAACTTTAAGTTAACCTTAAGCATTGGAATTTTTCCATGTTCTAGGCAAATGAGTCTCTTTGGATCCTGTTTTCATCACCCAATATATTCTCTCTCCTCTTCCCAGATTGATGGTAACAAGCAAATTTTATACAAAGGTGCTTATGTCCAGCCATATTTTATGTTATCACCCAAACAGTCCTTTACTTCTTGTGACAGAACTTGCTTGCCTCTGGGACAAGGGAATTTGTGGTCACATTTGCAGCTGCTTCTTTCCTGAAGACATGGCTTCCTCACAACGCTGGGTGGCGCTATCCCCTCACATTTTTTTCCTCTTCTGTCCAGAGCTTTCTCCACCAGTCAGGAAAAACGTGGGTGGAGGTTGACTGTTCCTCCCTATAGGACTGCATTCTTCATTTGGCCTCCTCCCCGTACACGAATCTACAGAATGCCATGTGTCAGCCTGATGGAATTCAGGGCTCCGGGTGAACTTTGGGGGGCATCCAGTCATACCCTGGAGGACCTCTTTTTTATGATTATTTCCTAAGGCACATTTTATTGTGGTCAGTTCTAATTTTCAGTGACTCAATGGATCCTCAAATACTTTCCATGGGAAATACAACTCCACGGTATCAGAAAATACAACTAGCCAATATTTCCTGATGAGTTTTGTGCACATTTTTCTCTACTTAATTGTATCCTCATTTTCTCCACCCCAGAACAGTGAACAATTCTTTTCCTCTTTCTGTGCTTACACCCTTTCAAATACTTGCAGACACTTCTCATATCCAGCTTGAGTCACTGTTTGGCACAGCCTTATGTCTTCAGTTTTTATTGCTTTTGCTCATAAACCGCACCCCCTATGCCTTAATAGCCTGAAGTTTGTCTTCTCCAGGGAAAAGGGGATGGGAGTGTCAGAGTCTTAAGTGTGTTACTTGAGGAGGCCCAGCGCGGATTCAGACTGAAGCTAATGAAACTTCAGCTCTGTGGTCCTCTGCTTACTTGGGCTGCTTCCAAGACTTTGTTACCTAATTCAAACTTGTAATTTTGTATTATTTTTCTTAAAGAGGGCCTCCAAAATGATATTTTAGGTTTCCACAAAGCAAGCCTGGATCCACCCCTTCTGAGGCTATGCCTTTTGGGTGGATGCTTGGATGCACTGGCTCTTGGATGTGACCAGTCTTGGCCTCCCTCTCCCTAAGAGCTGTGGGCCATAGCATCTAATTTCCTCTTTTTAACAAAATGCGAAGTTTCTCTGCCTGGACAGACAATTCTGAGCCCAGCATACTCTTCACTTCCTTTCATTGTAATTTGGGCATGTTGATATTTTTTTTCTTCCATTTCCTTTCTTAGAACAGAAAAAGTAATTGCTAGTCAATGTAACAAATATAATTAGGCCAGGCTCAGAAGCTCATGACTCAGCACAAAGATTCTACATTTGAAAACAGTATTTAACTTTAGTGTGTTGGACTGTTACTACTTCAGGATGACTGCCACAGAGACATGTACGCATCTCACCATTTATGACATCACAAAACCAAGGTCTGGCTAATTTGCATGTGTTAAGATTCTTGTTGTTCTCTCTACTGCATAAAACCACATTAATTAGATATAAAGAGAAGCCATGGTCTTGGCACACCTAAGTTGTAGGCAGAAATTCATTGTTTTGTGAATGTGCTGTAGATTACAGGTGGATGAAATGAGGGGTAAAATGCTGGGCCAGAGCAGGTTGTATACTACACTCCTTCTCTAATGCCCAAGCTGGGGCTAAGAGATCCAGTCTTATCCTTAATCCAATTATCCTTACTGGTATCATCTTGTTTGCCTTTCCTGATAGTGGTTTCTCTGTCCCTTTCCCAGGATTCATATTTCTGACCCCATGGACTCTTTTTTGTTATTCAATAGACAAAAGTGGAATTTTGGAGTGGAATTTAAGTGATTCTGCTGTTACTGGCTCTGATGGACATGGCCTTGTTCTCGGCTCCTGTATGTTCTGATGCACAGGGCTCTCCTGTAATTTATCACATGGTTTTGTCTGTTACCCTCATTTGACTTTAAAATTGCTTGATACAGTAGCAGTCATGTTTTATTCATTGTTGTTCCGCAGAGCTTAGCACTGTTTTAACACTCTGGAATAAATGAATGAGGTTTATAATGCCAAGGTATTATAAATAATTAGGAAGCCTATGGGTGAATGAAGAAGCATGTCCAGATATCCTTCTGTTGCTAAAGCAGACAGGATTCAGCTGATTCACGTGCAAAAGAGTTAAGGGGAAGTTAAAAAAGGTCTATAGGTCCACAGACACACCCTAAGCCTTTCTACACAGATGTACCAAGAGTTTCATCAAACTGATTCTCTGCCAATACATTTCCTCCCACCTGTGGGAACATTCCTCTTTTCTATGAGCAGAGCTCAGAAAACAGCAATGATCTCATGAACTAGTATTATCTTTAGTTCACAGAGATCAGAGTGTTCAAAAGTCGGTGATCAAAAAAAAAAAAAAAAAAAAAAAAAAAAAAAAACCGTTTCCAAACTGGGTGATTCCCTACTGATTAGACCCCTCTGGATGAGACATCTAGAACGTTCTGAGATTTTGCTGCTTTAATTACAATTTTTACTTCAGTGTGGGACATTTGACTTTTTTTCCAATATTTATTTTTTTGTAGTTGGACACAATGCCTTTATTTTATTTTTATGTGGTGCTGAGGATTGAACCCAGGGTCTCGCACGCGCTAGGTGAGCGCTCTACCGCTGAGCCACAACCCCAGCCCTACATTTGACTAATTTACTGATGATATTAAGGTCTTCATATGGGATACTTTCCAGAAGGGAAGGGAAGAAGGGCCACCAAAATGCCCTTGCTGAGGACTCTCCAAATGTTCAGGACAGGATTCAGCTCTGGCTTCTCAACTTCAGACTAATGATTCTCCACGGTGCCCTAGTGTAAAGGCCCACCAGAACTCCAAGTGTTCCAACAACAAATGTCTCCCTAGCCTTCCGAACGGGGTGCCCAGGGCTGGGAACACCTCCACTCCCGTTCAGCGGGGAGGACCAAAGGAAGGCTTTGCAGGCCCTCTCTTTGGCCTTTCCCTTTCCGCTTTTTAATGGAATTGTTTGAGGGCTTTTGCTAATGCAGTCATTTCCAGGAGAGGAAGCCGCCTTTCTTCCATACCCTAGCAGCTGGAGTGAATCAGAGGGGGCAGCCACATCTGCACATCCTGTGGGGCAATCGCTCACGCGCGGGTGACGGCGCCAGCAGGGCCGTCTGGGGACTCTTGGGGACCGCGGGGTGGGGATAAGCCAGAGGGGTGCTCAGGGCGCGGCTGCCCACAGGCCGAGCTGGGCGGCCCCGTTTCCATTTCCGCGTGCGCCCCCCTCGTCCCGCCTTTTCCTGTTCTCTCCCCGCTCCCTCCCCCGTCAGTCTGTCGCGGTCCCGAGCTCAGCCCGCGTCCCAACCCCCCGTTCCCTCCGCCCCGCCCGAGCCCGAGCGCCGCTCCGAGCGTTTACGACGGCGCCCCGGTTGCCTAGCAGCGGGCGCGCGTTGCCAGGCGACGTGTTTTGAATTGTTCGTCCCGGCCCCGCCCCAGCGGCTTCCGACCGTTTCGGCTTCAGGGCTGGGGGGAGGGGCGGGGAGCGGGGCCTCCTCAGGCCTGGGGCCGGGAAGGGCGGCGGGGCGGCCTAGTGGCTGCCTGGCTCGGGCTCCTGGAGCGAGGGAAGAGCCTGGCTCGTGACATAAAGTCCTCGCACCTGTGGGCCACTAGTGAGGAGCGCTCCTCACCGTGGGGCATTTCCCGGCCCCCGACCTTCCTCGCCCCTAACAATGCAGGTCCCCGCCCGGTTGGCCTCCTTAGGTAGATCCTAGCGGGGAGATTGGGGACCCCCCAGCCCCTGAGCGGATCCGAGTTCTAGTCCCTACTCCCCGCCCCAGGGCTGTACTGGGGATTTTGGCCCACCCCTAGCCCCCAGGCCTCCTCCGCAGTTCTACCCTGGAGAGGGAGAGGTGGAGGGAAACGGAGCCCTGGGAAGTTAGCTGGCACCTAGGCTCTTCACGAGCCTCTTCAAGAGCCTCTTCAATCCTCCCACCCAGTCGCCAAGAGAGGTGGCACCTCCCTACTACAAGCTCCTACAAGCGAGGGCTCAGATTCAGGGCGTTTGACTTGCTCAAGGCCCCAAAGCTTATAAATGGTGGAGTCAGTATTCAGAACCTCTTAACACCGTGTTCTTGACTCATCACCCGCTTAGTCACCTTTAACAAAATTCACAGATTGCCGGGCCAGATTGTGGGAACTCCTACAGAATGAGGCTGCAGGTTAAGTGTACTATACTTTATACTTCTGAGGTGTATGTTAGCAAACAGACTCTCCCTTACTCCCTCCGTCTCTCCTAGAAAACTGATGCTGAAAAACCATAAAGTCAAGCCCTTACTGGCTTTCATATTCACATCTACTTGAGGGTGCTCCTATTTATGGTCTATTTACTTTGGGCTGCTTTTGAATTGGGGAAGCTGTCCAAAGCCTGCTCTCTGATGGCATTTCAGAACTACTGTGTCTCTTCCTGGCCATCCCAGAGACCCAGAAGCGACTCTTACTAGGTTTTCCTTTCTTTCTGAGCATTTCCAGTAAGATACATTTTTTTCCTGTGTGTGTGTGTTTTAGTTTCTTGACTAATCAGAAGCTTCATTTTTTCTTTCATGAGAAAGGTCAGATATTAAAGAATGAACACCCTTTGCTTTTTTAGTAACACTTTGAGCTGAAAGCTGGCTATCCCAGGTTTGAAGGGAAGCTAGTCGTTTCCACCATGTGGCTCCAACCCCAAACAGGGCAAGATCTATCTGTTGTGAGGGTCTTCCTAGGTCTGGAAGAATGGTTGATGACTCTCCAGATTCAAGCCCAGAAAGAACCGGAGCTATGCTTCCCTCCCCATTTCCAAATCCCAACTGGCTTGGGGATCCTCGCCATTTAGCACAGAAATTCATGCCTCCTCTTTCAATTCCCTAGAGTGATATACACACATCTCCATTATTGCCACCACCACTAAGCCATCACTGGGGACCAGATTTTTTTAAATATATATATTTTTTAGTTGTTGATGGACCTTTATTTTATTCATTTATTTATATGTGGTATTGAGAATCCAACCCAGTGCCTCATACATGAGGCAAGCGCTCCACCACTGAGCCAAGACCAGATTTTGGCAATACAAATCATAGATGGAAGGAAAAGAAAAAAGGTATAGCTAAGAACTAAGGAACCCCTGGGAACAGAGAGTAAAAGGAAGATGAAGAGGCAAAGGAAGAATAAAAGGAAATGGAAAACCAAGAGACAAAGGTATGAATATACTAGTATTATCAATAGAAATTAGTTTGACTACCAAATTTTCATTCTAATTTTTATAATCCTACAATGTGTTTGTAAGCTCCTACTTGGGAACTTGTAAAAATAAATTAAATTGATAAGTTGGTATACACTGTATTATGAGTCCAACATTAAGAATATCTCTATCTTTTTGAAATTTCAGAAAGCAATGTACTTACCTCCTGGGTGAGACAAACATTTTGAATCAATTGAGAGGGACTGTTCATTCACTGTTGTAGTTCAAAGGCAGAGAAGTTTCAGTTTCTCTTCTGAGGGGTCTTAATCAGTTGAGTAGAATGAGTGTTGAGTGAGAGGATGAATCAGATCCCCTCTTGCCAGCAGAGGGGTGAGATGGTGTGTGTGGTGGGTTTGAGAGCATGGGAAGGATGTCCTGAAGGTGAGTTACTAGCTTGGGTGGGGCGGTGTGACCTATGGTATATTCTATGATGTCATAGTGGCAGGCAGGAACCTCCCTGCTGCCCCCACTCCCCCTCCCCTCACCCCCAGAAGGACCATGATGTGGAGGGATACTAGGTACCTATATCAAAGGTCTCTGAAAGCCTTCTGAAATTGCTAGATCAGTACTTCTTTCACTGTGCATAAGGATCGCCTGGGGAGCTTGTTCAAGTGTAGATGCCAAAGGGTTGGGAAGTCTCCCAGTTGATAACATCAGGCCACACTGATTTGTAGGGCTTTAGACTAGTGCTGTCAAAAGAGAAATACATTGTGAACCACATATGCCATTTAGTTTTCTTATAGCCACATTAAAAAAATAAAATGGACAAATATACTGCACTACAACAATGAAATCTTACACAATGCTATGGTTCAAGTAGGATAGATCCCTCCCTAAACAATAAAGTAGGGTTCAATGGAAAAAAATACATGATTTCCTTTTTAAAATTTAAATTTAAACAAATTCTAGTTAAATAAAATTAGAAATTCAGTTCCTAAGTCACACTATCCTCATCATAAGGACTCAGTGGCCACGTGGGGCTAGTAGCTACTCTATTCAACAGCAGGACTCTGGATCATTTGCTGTGCAGATAATGATGTACAGAGTTTGCCCTTTGAAAGGATTTTATATACTTGGATGTGAGAACATAGGAGACATTCATTAGCATAATTTTGATGAATGCATAACTTTCTGATATTTCAAGAGAGGATTTTTGATGTCTCTACTATTCTATCAGAGTCTGAATGGGTGTCTTCTGCCCTGTGAAACATTTCACACTCAGTCTACCTCTGAACCTTTATTGGGCACTCCCTTTCCCAAACCCCCATTTGGGTTTCTTCCTTTTCTTTGCCATCACATCTAAATCCTACACAACCTTCAGGGCATATGACTCCAGTCTCAATATCCTGTTATCCTAGCCCTATCACTGTCTCTTTACTCTGAGCTCCCATGGGCATGTCTGGGCTGGCTGTACAATGGGAGCTTCTTTAAGTGGGGTCTTGAACTCTTTGTTTGCTTTGGGTATGTTACTCTTAAATTCTAAGCTGCTTGAGGACAGAGCCTACTTCACTTCTATGGTGTGTAGTACAGTGTGGAGAGGATAATACTTGCTTAATAAATATTGATTGTTTTATTAAATTACCTAAGATACCTAAGTAAATGTCTGAGAACATCAGATTTAAAGTGTTGATAACTTGAATAAAAGGAATAATGAGTCCTCTTCTTGGAAAATCTCAACTTGATCAAGATGTCAGTTCTCCATAAATTCATTTATAAATTTAATGTAATCCTAATATGAATACCAAAGAACATTTTTTTTTAACTAGAGATTGAACCCAGAGGACTTAACCACTGAGCCATATTCCCAGCCCTTTTTTATTTTGAGAAAGGGTCTCATTAAGTTGCTTGGGACCTTACTCAGTTGTTGAGGCTGGCTTTGAACTTGTGATCCTCCTGCCTCAGCCTTCAGAGCTGCTGGGAATATAGGTGTGAGCCACTGTGCCTCCCAAGAGCATTTGTTTTAAAGACTATGATTAGTTGATGTTTAAGTTATTTTTATTTTTTTTGGAAAAATCCTTTATATTAGCCAGGAAAACGACAAAAAGGAAGAGCTCTAAGGTAGGACTAACCCTCACTGATATACTGTAAAGCCTATAGGATTAAACCATGTGACCTTAGAGCATAACTAGACAGACCAAAGGAATAGAAGAGGAATAGAAGAAATAAACACAGCCATGTATGGACCTCCAGTATAAGATGAAGGTGATTCCTGTAATCCTTGGGGTAATAATGATCTTTTAAACAAACATTATTGGGTCAAACTGAATAGCCATTTGGGAAAATTTAAAGAGTTCATTTTTTTTTATATCAGATATAAGAAAACTCCAAATGGATTAGACAGCCGAACTTAAAAATGACATTATACAAGTACTCCAAGAAAGCATAGGTAAATTTCTCTACAAGATAAATTGTAAAGAAAGGCTTTTTAATCATAGTTAAAAATCCGAGTACTTGATAAGAAAAGATTTGATGAATTTGATTCCATAAAACAAAAACAAACCCAACCAAACATTTGAATAACAAAATCACCATAAATAAAATTAAAAATGACAAGCTTGAAGGAGATATTTATAATCTATATCATAGATAAAAGGCTAATATCCCTATTATATGAAGAACTTTAAAAAATTAAGAATATTCCTATTATATAAAGAACTTTAAAAAATTAAAAAGAAATAAAGATAAAACTTCTTATAAAAATGGGAAAAATTCAGGAACAGACAATTTGTAAAAAGAGACATCAGAAAAAAAAAAGAGACATCACATTTAAACATGTGAAAGCTATTTGATTTCAATTACAATAAGTGTAATGCAGAGTTAAACTACCATCACTTATCTGTCAGATTGGCAAAATTAAACAGCTTGGCAACATGCTCTGCTGATGAGACTGTGGGGAATCAATTGCTCTCACGCTTTTGGAGAGAATGAAAAATGGCACAGCCCTGTGGAGAAGAATTTGGCACTAACAAAACTGCATGTGTATTTATCTCTTGACCCAGAAGTCACAGTTTTAGGGATTTATCCTGAAAGTATACCTCCCATAATATTAGAATGGTGTGCATGAAATCATTCATTACAACAGTATATAAAATTGTATAACATTTAAAACTACCTAAATATCAAAGCAACAAAACACTAAAACACTAATCAACAACAGAGAGAGAGGCGGGGCGGGGAGAGAGGAGGTGGCCGCTGGGGGTTGGTATGTTCGCTGCAGTTTGCTGCAGTTTGGCGGTGGCCAGCTGGAATGTTTCCCTGATCCGTGTTGTTTTGAACCGGCTGGGGG